GATATTAAATAAAATATTATAAGAATCAAACTTCAAATGTTATATGAAATAAATTTAATTTTAACTTTTTTACTTCATGTTATATCTTGATTTAGCATACAAATTAAAGATATATTTATCAAATAATAAATAAAAAATATTTTTTTATCTATTTTTCAGATTTTCTTATCAAACATACATTAAAAAAATAACATATTTACATATTTTTAATGATTTCACCTTTCTCTCAAATTTTTAATCCGTTGATTAAATCAACATCGATTTTGTGTACTAAAACATTTATAATGAAGAGAGGTTTTTCATTCAAGGTCAAAACAAATCAAATATATGTCAAAGATAGTTTATATTAGATTTACATTGAATAGCATTAGGATTAATTACCTAGAACTTTGCTAGCTCAATTCTCAATAAATCTGTAATGTCAAGGTTGCACTTTGTTTTGGCTGTCCATTAGCAGCAACTACTTATGTATCTTTTTGCTTTTTTTGAATTGATAATAATTTTTTATGTCAAAAAATCAATTATAAATCATATTATTGTTATAATTTATAAAATTCTAACCAATATTATTAAAAATTATAAGTCATTCAATTCATACTATATATTTTCATATTTACCTGCTATTGTTGTTTTTATTGATACCAAACGGCACAATAATTTATTTTATTATGAAAAAACTCTTTATTTAAGGTCAATTAATTTTAAATTGGATATCTTCTAATTTTTTTTATTTTATGTTTTTATGCTTTTTAATTTAGATGCTCAATTTGATTTATGTAACACAATTTTTTAATTCATCAATTTAAAATTTTAATTTTAGTTTTTATTTAATATATTTAATAAAAAATTCACAATTTTACTTACAAAATTTTATCTAAAACCTCATTTAAAATGAAGGAAAAAACTTTTATTTAAGATCAATTAATTTTAAATCGGATGCCTTTTAAAATTTTCTTTATTTTATGGTTTTTATTTTAAATGCTTAATTTGATTTATGTAACATGATTTTTTTTAATTTATCAATTTAAAATTTTAAGTTTAGCTTTAATTTAATATATTTAATAAAAAATTCACAATTTTACTTACAAAATTTCATCTCAAGTCTTCATTTAAAATGGAGGGAAATACTAGCAGCATTCGAAACAACAACCACATTCCCTCCCTTCAAATTTTGTGAAGCCACGTTATTTAACTTTCGTAAATCAAAACCGGTTACTTGTTTAGATAGTTTTAACTTCAGTAATGACATTTTCAAAAGCTTTCTTTTGCTGTGGAGTATAACTTGATTGGATTTGTTTTAAATGTTTATTACATAAAGAATAATTATATTCCTAGTGTTTTTCTTTCACTTAAACATTTTTCTTTAATTGTTGAAATTTGTTTTACTATTTAATTAGTCAATATATGCTATTAATTAAACATAAAAAATTAAGTCATTTCCATTATTATGAAAAAGAAATTAAGCACAATAAGTGAAATCTAAAAGTACAAACTTATCAAATATTAAAGTATACTAATGAATTTTGGATTTTTCCGAGGTATTTATTTATTATTAAAAAATTATAAGTCGCACAATTCATTCTATATATATATATATATATATATTTTATCTAATTGCTATTGTTTATTTTATTAACTCTTTATTTAAGATCCATTATTTTTTAATCAGATACCTTCTAAAATATTTCCTTATTTTATGCTTTTCTAATTTTATTTTAGATGCTCAATTTAATTTATGTAACAAGATTTTTTTAATTTATTAATTTAGATTGTTAATTTTTATTTTTAATTTTATTTAATATTTTTAATAAAATTTGACAAATTTCACTTACAAAATTTCATTTAAACTCTCGTTTAGAATGAATTGATGTCATTATTTAATTCGTTTAAGCACATTTTTAATGTAATTACACTTTTCTTTGCTGTTTGGATAGCGATTATGTTCACGTGGCTTTAGTGGGACTTAAACTAATCACACCATATTTTTTACATATTTGACATTTTTGCTTTATTTATTTTTTTTTAGTTAATAAATTTTGAAATAATTTTTTAACTTAATAAAATGAGAAATTTTATTATATAATAAATTTATAAATAAATGAAATTATTATTTTATTATGAATTAAAAATTATTATTTTATAAATTTTATTATTATATTAAAATTAATAATTAAATATTATATTACGAACTAAAAATACAATTTAGTATTATATTATACTATTATTTTAACTAAAAATAGATAATTACATCATTAATAAAAAATTAAATATTATTATTTTTATTAATTTTTAGTTATTTATCAACAAAATTATTTTTTCATGGCACGACTTATGAAAACTAAAGTTATAGTCCAGTGCAACACATGAATTATGATCTTCATGGGTCGTGCTATGTCAAGTACAACACTATTTTTCGTATTGAGATGGGCTAAGCACAACCTAGTAACAATTTTTCAAAATTTCAATTATTTTTTAAAAAATCATTTATTATTATTAACAATAACATGCAGAAGATAAATAAAAGTAAAATAAAATAAAAAGGTCACATAATTTATGTGATTCAACAAAATGCTTACATCTATCGAGAAGGGTAATAGAATCTACTAAATAAAATATCGAATTATAATCTTAATATTTTAAAAAACACATACATACATATAAAAGATATTACAAAATACAATATTATTTTTCTATTTTTTTATTCTCATCCTATGATGATTCACGTATATAATGTGTTTTGTCTTGCGCATTTATTTTATACTTTTCATCCTATAATAATTTACTTTGTTAATTGAATTTGTTTTACCTTGAAATCTTAATCTATTTTTATCATTTTATTTTTATTGATCACTAGTTAAATATAATTTATTTATTAATAATTTAAATATTTAATAAATATATTTATTTAATATAATTTTATTTTATAAATTATCAACAATATATTAAAAGTAATTATAATTTCATTGCAATATAAAAAATAACATGAATACATTCAAAAGTATAGACCAACATGGCACAGTTGGATTTGTGTGTCGTGTCGTGTTGTGCTAACCCACGTTTTATATACTGACAATGGCCTTTAATAAACTATATTGTATCAATTCATAAATCTAAAATTTTCTAGTCCAACACTTTACACATATGTGCATCGTGTTTAGCTCAATCTAATTACTTAATAACGAATCATGTCAAACATGATCAATATCATATCTAATTGTGTCGGATAATAAGTTATCTAACACACCTCTAATTGTACTATAATATTGACGATTCTTGTGTATCCTCCAACCTATAATTTATTCTACACCATGAACACGATAGAAATGGGAGGCCAAAAGATTTGGACAAAACTCAATAGTAGATAAAAGATCAGCCTGAACCAAATTAAATGAATAAACATTTATACATTTTAAAATTATTATCTTATATATTGACTTCACTATTAACTTATAGTCTACATAGCTGTCACACCTTCATTTAATCATTTAAATTATTATTAATACAATTGACGATAAAATTTTAAATTTCAGAAATTAAATTAAATGATTTGTTTGCATATATTTGTATAATTAATAATTAATCAATTATTAATTTTTATAGATATATTCTTAAAAAATGCCAATTTTTTAATTTTATTTATAAAATTAAAAATTTTTATATAAAATATTTAATTCATTAATTTCTTTACATAGTTGATGTTTTATTTATAATCTAATTGTTTGTAGCAATCTTATAAACTCATTTATAGAATATAAAATTTGATTGATCTATAAGATATAATTTTCATTTAAAATAATTATCATAATTTTTTTTTAACATTTGATTAATATTAAGTGCAAACTAAAGCTAAGATTGTCCTTTAATTGTAGAAGACCAATAGTCATCATATAAGAAAATTAATTTAAACATAAAAAATCCGTCGGTCTTGAAGTTATATTTTTCCACTTGATATTTAATACTAAAATGCTCTTGTATTTAGCATAAATACCTGACCATGCTAGCCAATGTAATTTAGAACAATTAACAAAAGATCCTTTTTGAACTATCCAAATCACGTCATCTTTCTTAATACCATTCAAAGTCATGTTCTTCCTCAAACTTGTCCTGCTTCACTCTTCCTTTGTTTCGCTTCTTCATCCTCCATTGCTGCAGTTACAAGAGGTAAAGAAGCGGAAGCTCTTCTAAAATGGAAAGCTAGCCTTGACAACCACACCCGAACTTTGCTCTCTTCTTTGTGGGCTGGAGACAGCCATTGCAGTTGGGTTGGAATTACCTGCGACAAGGCTGAAAGCATCACAAATCTAAGCCTTCCAGATTATGGGTTGAAAGGTACACTTCATAGTCTAAACTTTCTTTTCTTCCCTAACCTGATGAGGCTTAACCTTCGCAACAACTCACTGTATGGGCCCATTCCCTCACACATTGGGAACCTTTCCAAGCTCACCTTCCTTGACTTGTCATACAATAATTTTCGGGGAATATTCCATCCGAAATTGCTTATTGAAAGTTCTTGAGTTGATTTCCTTAGCAAGTAATGAGATCAGTGGTTCCATTCCATTAGAGATAGGGAGGCTGAGTTCAGTTTCCGAGATTTATTTCCTTGATAACTATCTACGTGGTTCTATCCCCGCTTCCATAGGAAACTTGACCTACTTTTCTGTTCTCCACCTCTATCAAAACATTTTTTTGGATCGATACCTCAAGAGATAGGGATGCTTAAATCTCTCACTGACTTTGATTTGAGTCAAAATAATTTCTCTGGTTCAATCCCTGCTTCTATGGGAAACTTGACCAGCTTATCCATTCTCTACCTTCATCAAAATATGTTTTTTGGGTCGATACTTAAAGAGATTGAGATGCTTAAATCTCTCACTAAATTTTCGTTGAATCAGAATAGTTTCTCTGGTTCAATCCCTGCTTCCATAGGAAACTTAACCAACTTATCTCTTTTCTACCTCTGCCAAAATATGTTTTCTGGATCGATACCTCAAGAGATAGGGATGCTTAAATCTCTCACTGGCTTTGAGTTGGCTCAAAATAATTTCTCTGGTTCAATCCCTGCTTCCATAGGAAACATGTCGAAGCTTATGAAGATATATCTTACCTATAATCATTTATCAGGGCCAATTCCTTCCACGCTTGGCAATCTTACTCATTTGCAATCATTACAATTAGGAGATAACCATCTCAGTGGTCCATTACCCAAAAATTTATGCAAGGGTGGACAACTTGCAAATCTTTCGGTTATCAACAACAATTTGACGGGTCCTATCCCACCAACTTTGAAAAATTGCAAAAGTTTATACAGAGTTAGGCTTTAAGGAAACAACTTTACACGAAATATATCAGACGCTTTTGCTGTGTATCCGAATTTGAATTATATTTCATTAAGCAACAACAGATTTTATGGTGAACTTTCTCCAAAATGGGGACAATGTCATAATCTAACAAGCCTACAAATCTCCAATAACAACATTTCTGGGAAGATACCACTAGAGTTGCACATGCAACTCAGTTACAGGAACTCGATCTCTCTTCAAATCATCTTGTTGGTGAGATTCCCAAGGAATTAGGAGTATTGACATTGATGTTCCGTCTTCTGCTAAGTGATAACCAACTTTCAGGCAAAATTCCACCAGAGATTGGAGTTCTTTCAAATCTACAACATCTTAACCTGGCATCAAACAATTTGAGTGGACCGATTCCTAATCAACTTGGAGACTGCTCAAAGTTATTGGACCTGAATTTGAGCAAGAATTAACTTGGAGAAAGCATTCCATTTTCAGTAAGCTATATAAATGGTCTTCAAAATCTAGATTTAAGTCAGAATTTACTTATTGGGGAGATACCACAACAGCTTGCAAAATTACATTCCTTGGAAATATTGGACCTTTCTCACAATGTGCTCAATGGTTCCATCCCGAATTCTTTTAATGATTTGAAAAGCTTGACAGTTGTGAATATATCTTACAATCAATTAGAAGGCCCTATTCCTAACATCAAGGCATTTCATGAGGCTTCATTTGATGACTTAAGAAACAATAAAGGCCTATGTGGTAATGCCATTGGACTAATGCCTTGTGCTGTCGCTGCTGCTAGCAACGGTCATAGAAAAAGCACCAAAGTCATCTTTTTCATTGTGATTCCATTCTTTGGTCTTCTTTTCTCTTTATCATGGTTGGAAGTATCCTTATTCTTTGCCAAAAGAACCGAACCAGAAAATCTGAGTCAATAGAGGCACAACTAGGAGAAATTTTCACATTGTGGGGATATAATGGAAGAATACTCTACGAGAACATTATTGAAGCCACTGAAGATTTCAGCTCCAACAATTGCATTGGTTCAGGAGGCTATGGAACTGTTTATAAAGCTGCGCTACCCATTGGTGAGGTGGTTGCTGTGAAAAAACTTCACCAATCTGAAGATAGCATGACTTCGAACAACTTGAAAGCCTTTGAAAGCGAGATTCATGCTTTATCAGAAATAAGGCATCGTAACATTGTGAAGCTGTATGGCTTTTGTTCATATCCAAAGAACTCATTTTTGGTTTATGAGTTTGTAGAAAGGGGAAGTTTGAGAGAGGCGTTAAACAACAAGGACGAGGCAATGGACTTGGATTGGGAGAAGAGGCTAAATGTTGTAAAAGCAGTGGCCAATGCCTTGTCTTATATGCATCATGACCATTCACCACCTATAATTCATTGAGACATTTCCAGCAACAATGTTCTTTTGGATTTGGATTATGAGGCTCATATTTCACATTTTGGTACAGCTAGGCTTTTAAAGCCCGACTCTTCCAATTGGACCTCACTTGCTGGTACTTTAGGGAACATTGCTCCAGGTATTTATTAATATCCTTTCTTTAAGATGCTTTAAACATGTCATCATTCAATTAAAAGTTTTAGTTTTGTGTGCAAATTGACGTGTTAAAACAAACTACAAGTAGTATTAAGATTGTAACTTTGCAAATTTAAATATCAAAGAATTTTACTCTAATTCAAGTATTAAATGTGTAATTAATCTTTGAAGTATAATACTTAATTTTTCAATATTCAATATATCAAACTAATGAACTAAATATAAAAACTTATTTAAACCTCTGAATTTCAATTTTATGTAATCTTCTAAACATTTGCAATTTCTTTTCAACTTTATTTTATAATCTTCTTAATATTCTTACATAATAGTGTATTTGATTAGATATATTTATTGCTTATTAGAGCACATTGATTGGAAATATTTTTTTAAGCAAAGTTGGCTTATAAATGAAAGTAGACGAGAGATGTGATGTTTATAGTTTTGGGTGCTAACAATGGAAATACTTCTGGGGAGGTATCCTGGTGATTTGATTTCTTGTTTGCCATCATTGTCATTGGCATTGACATCAACATCAACGTCGACATCGATACCAAATTACAACCAACTGATTTTACTTAAAGATGTGATAGACCAACGCCTCTCACCATCGGTAAGGCAAGCTGCAAAGTATGTTGTCTCTACTGTAAAGACAGCATTTGCATGCTTGAACGGCGGTCCCCAACGTCAGCCAACCATGCGACAAGTCGCTTAAGCCCTTACCCGTCAATCGTTTCCATTGCCGAATCCTTTCTCAATCATAAAATTGGGAGAATTGTGGGATCATGAAGTCTGCAGTGGCTAATATTAAGGTGCTAACAATTTGAATAATAATTCTAAGCACGTGTATTTGCTTTCAATCTATTTCTTTTTCTCTTCTTTGTATTGAAATGTTTAAGCACTCTAGTAATAAAACTTTTGTAGTGAATCGGCTATGATATAGAACAATTATGTTTAAGCACTCAATTTGTATGTTCGAAATTTCTTATTTTTGAAATGTAACTAATGGCCAGACTTAGAATTTCAACTTTCAATGTCAGTAGTAATATTCTATTGTAGTATTGATTTGCTACAGTACTTTCACTTTGGAATGCTAAAGCAATGCTAATATCACTTTTTTATTTGTTTGAACAAACAAAGAATATAATTGGTGAGCACACCAAATTACAATAAACACAACTTCACACAATAATCTTTTGATTTTATTATTTACTTGCCAATTATTCTTACACTATTTCTCACAATTTCATCTTTCTAACCGTTCATCATTCACTGCCTGTTAAATCATTCAAAATTTAATTGTAATTATATTAAGTATAATTGAAATGGATTTGAGTGATGATTTAGAAATATATACCTTTAACTTGTACATTTTTTTACTAAAATGCTAAAATGTTGTACTTTTCTTGAATTTCTCAAATAAATTTTTATCTTTTTTTTAATCCAATTGAAAGCATAAAATATTATTCTTTTTTAATTAAGTCTTATTTTACATGAAAACCACTAAAATTCATTATTTTTACCATATCATCAGTAATAATTATCTTTGTTAAATCAATTTCCGTATTGCAAAACATAAAAATTAAAATTGAACTGTCATTTACATAATATGTAACGAATGGCTCATATAACAGGCCACGTTAGCATCTATAGAGCTTTTTATTTTCAAATATATGCTATGTAGATGTTGGCATCATAAAAAGAAATACAACATATATGTTGATTTGAGAAGAAATAATATTATTTTTTGCAATTTTCATCTAAGAAAAAGAGCTTAATGAAACAAAATTATACTCCAATATAATTAGACAAAAATAATTTATTAATGACTTAATTGTAATAGAAAGATGAAGGCTTATATGAAAAATTCATGTAATTGATGAGTCATTGATGGCATTGAATTTCAAGCCTGCTAGTTAGTCTTCTATTCAAATTTTGAAAAAAAAAAAAATTTGGTAATACGACAAGATAGTCTTTTACTCATGAAGAAAAGTAGAAGACTTGAAGATTTGAGTTCCAAGAAACAATGAACCATTTGTTTGGAGGAGTTCTTGGTTGGAGACGAAGTTGCCTAGATGCCTTGCAGGCATGTTTTCTTGAAGATTGCATTGTTAGGGGGAATTTTCATAAGTTTTGCAAACTTCTTTGCAGTGTTTAAAATGAGGAGATAATACAATAAACAATCTTGTTTCAATATAATTGTATAAAATCTTATGGCAATTGATGTACATTTTACTCAATTTTTTCGAAGTGTTGCTAGTTATCTCTACATTAATTAGTCACACATCAGAATGGACATTTTTTGAAATATTGAATTTAGTTGTGTAAATAATTTTGGAAAAGAACATATTAGAAATGGGTGGCCAAAAGAATTGGATACAACTCTATATTGGATAAAAGATTTACTATAACCAAATTAAATGAATAAAAAGTTACATATATTCTAGAATTATTATTTTATATATTGACTTGATTGTTGATTTATAGTTTACAGCATTGATATCTTCATTTAATAATTGAATTATTATTTTATATACATATATATTGACCATAGAGTTTTTAAAAATTTATTAATTTTTATAAATATATTATTATAAAATACTTGTTAATTTTTTAATTTTGTTTATAAAATTTATATTAGATCATTTTTAATTTGTTAATTTGTTATTTTATATAGATATATATAGAAGATAGAGTTTTTAAAATTTTATTAATTTTTATAAATATATTATTAAAAAATACATGTCAATTTTTTTATTTTTTTTAAATTTAAAAAAGCTATATTATATAATTTTTAATTCATTAATTTCTCTATGTACTTAACTTTTTTTTAATTATTACCTAATGTAATGTTATAAACTCATTTATTGAGTTTAAAATTTTAATTGATGTATCAGACAATTTTCATTTAAAATAATTATCATCAATTTTTTTTAACTCATACTTTACATTAAAATCTTCCTTTATTTACTTCCTAAAAGAAAATAAAAAATAAAAATAATCAATATTCAAGAAAAAAATTTTATAATTTAATTTAATTGATTGATATAATCACAACAAATTTAAAATTTAAATATCAGTATTTACAATATTTTTATATTGTAACTTTTTTATAAAAAAAATCCAACAAAATTAATTTAAATGTAAAAGACTCGCAGACTTAAAGTTTCATTTTTTGGCTTGAAGTGGATGTTTAATACAAAGTGAAATGGTTTTATATTTTGTATAAATTGATTTAAATAATTTATAATTGGATCCGGTATGAAATAACATGATAAACCCAATAAAAAATTTTCAAACAAATTTTAATAAAATCTAAAATCATTTTAAATTTATTTCAAAATGATTAAATAAAAATTAAAATCAATCAGTTGAAAGATTTTGTTTCATAAATCAAGTAAGCAAAATTGAAAAAACTATTTAAAAAATTTTGATATATTTTTTTGATAGATATTTTAACCATTAAATAGTACTAATTAAAATTAAATTATAAATGATATTTTTCTATTTCTTTTTACATTCTTATTGATTTTTTTCAACTCCATCAATTTATTAATTTACATTTTTTATTAAATTACTTTAAGCAAAGTATTTTTCAAATTTCACTTCAAAAAGTTCATCTAAATTTGTTATTTTTAATGTGTTGTTGAAACTACTAATAAGTCTGTGTTAAATTAATAATGTGATTAAAAATTTTCAATTGATTTATTTATATTTTAAAAATTGGTATGGATTTTAAAATTATAAATTCATTTTAATTATCAAATAATTGATTCCAAGATATTAAATAAATTATTATAAGAATCAAAACTCCAAATCTTATATGAAATAAATTCAATTCTTACTTTTTCACTTCATGTTATATCTCGATTTAGCTTACTTGAAGATAATATTTATCAAATAATAAAATATATAGATTTTTATCTATTTTTCAAATTTTCTTATCAAACACACATTAAAAAAATAACATAATTACATATTTTTAATGTTTTCACTTTTCTCTCAAATTTTTAATCCATTGATTAAATCAGCATCATTTTTTATACTAAAAAATCTATGATGAAGAGAGGTTTTTTATTCAAAGTCAAAACAGATCACATAGACATCAAAGATAACTTATAATAAGTTTACATTGAATAGCGTTAAGATTAATTTACCTAGAACTTAGCTAGCTCAATATTCAATAAATCTGAAATGCTAAGGATGCATTTTGTTTTGGCTTTCATTAGCGGCAACTACTTATGTATCTTTTTGCATTTGTTGAAATTGAAGATACTTATATATAAAATCAATTATAAATTATATAATTGTTATAATTTATAAAATTCTAACTAATATTATTAAAAAATTAAAAGTCATACAATACATACTATATATTTTTGTATCTAGTTTCTATTGTTGTTTTTATTGATTCCATACGACACAATAATTTATTTTATTATAACAAAAGTCTTTATTTAAGATCAATTAATTTCAAATTAGATGTCTTCTAAAAGTTTTTTTTTTATTTTATGTTTTTATGCTTTTTATTTTAGATGTTCAATTGGATTTATGTAACATAATTTTTTTAATTTATTAATTTAATTTTTTAATATAAATTTTTATTTAATGTATTAAAAAAATTCACAATTTACTTACAAAAATTTAATCTAAAACCTCATTTAAAAATAAGGGAAACACTAGCAGCAGTCGAAATAACAGCAGCATTTCCACACTTCAGACTTTGTCAAGCCACATCATTTAACTTTTGTAAATCAAAACCGGTTACTTGCTTAGATAGTTTTAACGTTAGTAATGACATTTTTCAAAGGCTTTCTTTTGCTGTGGAGTATAACTTGATTGGATTTGTTTTAAATGTTTATTACATAAAGAAATAAAGATATTCCTATCGTTTTTTTCACTTAAACATTTTTCTTTAATTGTTGAAAATTTTTTTACAATTTAATTAGTCAGTATATATTATTAATTAAAAACAAGAAATTAAGTCATTTCTATTATTATGAAAAAGAAACTGAGAACAATAAATGAAATCTAAAGTACAAACTTATCAAATATTAAAGTATACTAATGAATTTAAGACTTTTCTGAGGTATTTATTTATTATAATTGGTGTTTGTTGGGTGTTGCGGTTGGTTGGTGATAGATTGTGATTGGAAATTAAATAGTGAGAATGTTTACAGAAATTTTTTTTACTTTTTTGTTTTCTAAACATTTGGATTATTATTAAACTAATTAAATATTATCTCACTGTATGAATTAATTATAAACTAATTGAATATTATCTCACTGTATGAATTAATTAAATTAAAATTTCAAAATTATCTCACGTTTGACTAAAAAACTATATATATTGGAATTTGAATTATAAGCTAACTAGATTATAATCCGTACAATGCACTAAATAATTTTATTTATTTCATATGAATATATATATATAAATTAGTTTTTTTTTTCAAAATTATATTCAAATATTTAAAACTCGTAACATATATAAAATTTATATATATTAACTTGTCATTAAAAAAAAACTTTGTGAAAATAGCAAAAAAAATGATGTCTTTCTTTTGGATTTTTTGTTTACAATAATATTTATACACCTGTAAAATTATATCAAATAAAAATAAATTATGTCTTCTTAAAAAAAGAAAAATATATATTATTGAATGATAAATTAAATAATAAAAGAAGTATTAACACAATTTCACTTTAGCAATTTTATCTAAATTATTATACAAAATATGAAAAATATATGAAAATATGTGAAAAAAGAAAAAATAAATTGAAAAAAATATTATTTTTTATAAGAATGAAACTGTAATAATAATAAAATATATCTTAGAAAAAATTTATAATAAAAAAATGAATTACAATAGTAATAGAATATACCTTAGAAAAAAGTTGCCAAAAAAATAAAAAAATTGATGTATAACAAATTACATTTGTAGTTTTAAATTTGTAGAAGAATTTTTTAGTGACAATAAGGATTAAATAGATAATTTTTAAATTAATTTTTTAAAATTTAAAATGGAATTATAAGTGATAAAGATAATATTAAATTTTTTGCATTTATTTGAAATATAAATTTTATAATTAGAGTTCAAATAGATATAATCATTTTGATAATCTTATTATTTAAACATTTAAGATGAAAATTTTTTGAATTTTCAAAATCTTATATAAAATTACTTGAATTTTTAATGTCTTATATAAATTTTTTAAGAAGAAATTTTTAAATCAAATAAAAAAGATTGTTGAAAGATTTAGATAAACTTAATCTTTGTATTTTTGAAACATGTTTGAAAGATTTTGATAATTAAATAATTTTTTAAATAAGGTTATTTGGTAAACAACGAAAATTATTTATTAAAAAAATAAAATCCATAATTCATATTTTTAATTTCCGAATATATATCTTTAAATTGATTTGATTTTCAATTATAATTTGAATAATTTTGATATTTGAATAAATTTAAAATTATCTAATTTGTAATTAAAAGAAATTATCTGATTTAAAAAAAAAAAACTATTCTAATAGTCATTTAAGAGAGTTGTCCACATAAGCACTTATGTGGCAAATTTGTTTGTGTATGTTATTATATAGTATATATATATATATATATTAGATTGAATATTATCTCACTATATGAATTAATTAAATTAAAATTAAAATTTAATTATTATTAAATTCTATTTTAAAGTTAAAATTACTTCCCAGTATGGGTAAATCTTAGTCAGACTTTCTGTTCTTGATTGGTGCAGTGCATTAAGTTGATATTCGAAAAGGTCTAAAACAATGATTTGTCCTTTTCATCTCACAATCAAAGATATTAGTCAACTTGTAATAACAGGTACCCTATTTTAAGTTGCATAACTTGAATGACGTGGCTTCACAACATCTAAGTTGACATTTTAAAATTAATTATTATTAAATTCTATTTTAATTTTAAGTATGGGTAAATCTTAGTCAGATTTTTCAAGTTGATATTTGAAAAGGTCAAAAATAATAATTTGTCCTTTTCATCTCACAATCAAAGATATTAGACAACTTGTAATAACAGGCATCCTATTTTAAGTTGCATAACTTGAATGACGTGGCTTCGCAACATCTAAGTTGACATTTTAAAATTAATTATTATTAAATTCTATTTTAATTTTAATTACGGGTAAATCTCAGTCAGATTTTTCAATCTTGATTGGTGCAGTGCATTAAGTTGACATTTGAGAAGGTCTAAAATAGTGATTTGTCCTTTTCATCTCACAATCAAAGATATTAGACAACTTGTAATAAAAGGCATCCTATTTTATGTTGCATAACTTGAATGACGCGGCTTCGCAACGTCTAAGTCGTATTTTGTTAATTGAATTTGTTTTAAGTTGAAGTCTTAATTTAATTTTATCCTTTTATTTTTCTAATCACTAGTTAAACATAATTTACTTATTAATGATTTACATATTTAATAAATATATTTATTTAAAATAGTTTTATTTTATAAATTATCAATAAAATATTAATAATAGTTATAATTTCATTGCACTATAAAAAATTAACAAAAATACATTCAAAAGCTATGAGTCCACTTAAAACAATTATGTGACTTGATTTATTTATGGTGCCATGTTAGCCTACGTGTTATGTATTGGCAATGGCCCTTAATGGATTATACCATACTGATTCATAGACTTAGAAATCTTTTAATTCAGTTGCATAACTCAATCTAACTAATTAATAATGAATTGTGCCAAAGCTAAATTATATGAATCATCTAACTCATTCAACATCTCTAATTATACGATAATGTTGATTACTGAACCGAATTAAATAAATAAAAATTTATATATTTTAAAATTATTATCTTATATATTGATTTCACTGTCGATTTATAGTCTATATAGCTGTTGCATCTTCATTTAATAATTTAATTATTATTTAATACAATTGATGATAAATTTTTTTAAATTTAAAAATTAAATTAAATTATTTATATGCATTTATTTGTATAATAATTAATCAATTCATTAATTTTTTTAGACATATTTTTAAAAAACACATGTCAATTTTTTAATTTTATTTATAAAATCAAAAAATTTTATATAAAATATTTAATTCATTAATTTCTTTACATAATTTTTTATTTATGATATGATGATATTTAGTAATCTTATAAATTCATTTATAGAACTTAAAATTTTGATTGATGTATAGGATACAATTTTCATTTAAAATAATTATCATGATTTTTTTAACATTTGATTAATAATAAGTGCAAGCTAAAACTAGAATCATCCTTTAAACTTAAAAGATCAATAATCATCATCTAACAAAATTAATTTAAATGTAGTCTTGAAGTTGGATTTTTTCACTTGATGTTGATGTTTCATAGTGACCAAAATGCTCTTCTATTCTGCATAAATACCTGACCATGCTAGCCAATGTAATTTAGAACAGTTAACAAAATATCATTTTTGAACTACCCAACTCATGTCATCTTTCCTACTACCATTCAAAGTCATGCTCTTCCTCCTACTTGTCTTGCTTCACTCTTCCTCTCTTATTGCTTCTTCATCCTCCATTGCTGCACTTACAAGAGTTAAAGAAGCGGAAACTCTTCTAAAATGGAAAGCTAGCCTTGATAACAACACCCAAACTTTGCTCTCTTCTTTGTGGGTTGGAGATAGCCATTGTAGCTGGGTTGGAATTACCTGCGACAAGGCTGAAAGCATCACCAATCTAAGCCTTCCAGATTATGGGTTGAGAGGTACACTTCATAGTCTTAACTTTCTTTTCTTCCCTAACCTGATGAGGCTTAACCTTCGTAACAACTCACTGTATGGGCCCATTCCCTCACACATTGGCAACCTTTCCAAGCTCACTTTCCTTAAATTGTCATACAATAACTTTTCGGGGAATATTCCATCCGAAATTTGCTTATTGAAAGGTCTTGAGTTGATTTCCTTAGCAAGTAATAAGATCAGTGGTTCCATTCCATTAGAGATAGGGAGGCTGAGTTCAGTTTCCAAGATTTATTTCTTTGATAACTATCTACGTGGTTCTATCCCTACTTCCATAGGAAACTTGACCAGCTTATCTGTTCTACACCTCTATCAAAATATGTTTTCTGGATCGATACCTCAAGAGATAGGAATGCTTAAATCTCTCACTGACTTTGAGTTGAGTTATAATAATTTCTTTGGTTCAATCCCTGCTCTCATAGGAAACTTGACCGGCCTATCCACTCTCTACCTTCATCAAAATATGTTTTCTGGGTCGATACCTCAAGAGATAGGGATGCTTAAATCTCTCACTGACTTGGAGTTGAGTCAAAATAATTTCTCTGGTTCAATCCCTGCTTCCATAGGAAACTTGACCAGTCTATCCACTCTCTACCTTCATCAAAATATGTTTTCTGGGTCGATACCTCAAGAGATAGGGATGCTTAAATATCTCACTGATTTTGAGTTAGTAAAATAATTTCTCTGGTTCAATCCCTGCTTCCATAGGAAACTTGACCAGTCTTCCACCCTCTACCTTTATCAAATATGTTTTCTGGGTCGATACCTCAAGAGATAGGGATGCTTAAATCTCTCACTGACTTGGAGTTGAGTCAAAATAATTTCTCTGGTTCAATCCCTGCTTCCATAGAAATTGACCAGTCTATCCACCCTCTAACCTTTATCAAAATATGTTTCCTGGGTCGATACCTCAAGAGATAGGCATGCTTAAATCTCTCACTGACATGGAGTTGAGTCAAATAATTTCTCTGGTTCAATCCCTGCTTCCATAGGAAACTTGACCAGTCTATCCACCCTCTACCTTATCAAAATATGTTTTCTGGGTCGATACCTCAAGAGATAGGCATGCTTAAATCTCTCACTGATTTTGAGTTGACTCAAAATAATTTCTCTGGTTCAATCCCTGCTTCCATAAGAAACTTGACCAGTCTATCCACCCTCTACCTTTATCAAAATATGTTTTCTGGGTCGATACCTCAAGAGATAGGGATGCTTAAATCTCTCACTGACTTGGAGTTGAGTCATAATAATTTCTCTGGTTCAATCCCTGCTTCCATAGGAAACTTGACCAGTCTATCCACCTCTCTACCTTATCAAAATATGTTTTCTGGGTCGATACCTCAAGAGATAGGGATGCTTAAATCTTGACTTGGAGTTGAGTCAAAATAATTTCTCTGGTTCAATCCCTGCTTCCATAGGAAACTTGACCAGTCTATCCACCCTCTACCTTTATCAAAATATGCTTTCTGGGTCGATACCTCAAGAGATAGGGATGCTTATATCTCTCACTGACTTTGCGTTGAGTCAAAATAATTTCTTTGGTTCAATCCCTGCTTCCATAGGAAACTTGACCAGTCTATCCACCCTCTACCTTTATCAAAATATGTTTTCTGGGTCGATACCTCAAGAGATAGGGATGCTTAAATCTCTCACTGACTTGGAGTTGAGTCAAAATAATTTCTCTGGTTCAATCCCTGCTTCCATAGGAAACTTGACCAGTCTATCCACCCTCTACCTTTATCAAAATATGTTTTCTGGGTCGATACCTCAAGAGATAGGGATGCTTAAATCTCTCACTGACTTGGAGTTGAGTCAAAATAATTTCTTTGGTTCAATCCCTGCTTCCATAGGAAACTTGACCAGTCTATCCACCCTCTACCTTTATCAAAATATGTTTTCTGGGTCAATACCTCAAGAGATAGGGATGCTTAAATCTCTCACTGACTTGGAGTTGAGTCAAAATAATTTCTCTGGTTCAATCCCCGCTTCCATAGGAAGCATGTCGAAGCTTATGGCAATATATCTTCTCTATAATCATTTATCAGGGCCAATTCCTTCAACGCTTGGCAATCTTACTCATTTGCAAACATTCCAAATATCGGACAACCATTTCAGTGGTCCATTACCCGAGAATGTATGCCACGGTGGACAACTCGAATGGCTTGGGGCTATGAACAACAATTTGAGGGGTCCGATCCCATCAAGTTTAAGAAACTGCAAAAGCTTATACAGAGTTAGGCTTGAAGGAAACCAGTTGACAGGAAATATTTCAGAAGCTTTCGGTATATATCCTAATTTGAATTATATTGCATTAAGCAACAACAAATTTTATGGTGAACTGTCGCCAAACTGGGGGCAATGCCATAATTTAACAAGCCTACGAATCTCCGATAATAACATTTCTGGAAAGATACCACCTGAGCTGAAGCATGCAACTCAATTACACGAACTCGATGTCTCTTCAAATCATCTCATTGGTGAGATTCCCAAGGAATTGGGAGCATTGACATTGATGTACAAACTTTTGCTAAGTGGTAACCAACTTTCAGGCAAAATTCCACCAGAGATTGGAGTTCTTTCAAATCTACAATATCTTAACTTGGCATCAAACAATTTGAATGGACCGATTCCTAATCAACTTGGAGAGTGCTCAAAGTTATTGGACCTGAATTTGAGCAAGAATAAACTTGGAGAAAGCATTCCACTTTCAGTAAGCTACATAAATGGCCTTCAAAATCTAGATTTAAGTTCGAATTTACTTATTGGGGAGATACCACAAGAGCTTGCAAAATTACTTTCCTTGGAAAAATTGGACCTTTCTCACAATATGCTCAATGGTTCCATCCCAACTTCTTTTAATGATTTGAAAAGCTTGACTGTTGTGAATATATCTTACAATCAATTAGAAGGCCCTATTCCTAACATTAAGGCATTTCATGAGGCTTCATTTGATGCCTTAAGAAACAATAAGGGACTATGTGGTAATGCCACTGGACTAATGCCTTGTGCTGTCGCTGCTACTAGCAACGGTCATAGAAAAAGCACCAAAGTCATCATTTTCATTGTGCTTCCACTCTTTGGTATTCTTCTTTTGCTCTTAATCATGGCTGGAAGTTTCCTTGTTCTTTGCCAAAAGAACCAAACCAGAAAATCCGAGTCAATCGAGGCACAACTTGGAGATTTTTTCACATTGTGGGGATATAATGGAAGAATACTCTATGAGAACATTATTGAAGCCACTGAAGATTTCGGCTCCAACAATTGGATTGGTTCAGGAGGCTATGGAGCTGTTTATAAAGCTTCGCTACCCATTGGTGAGGTGGTTGCTGTGAAGAAACTTCACCAGTCTGAAGATAGCATGATTTCCAAGAACTTGAAAGCCTTTGAAAGCGAGATTCATGCTTTATCAGAAATAAGGCACCGTAACATTGTGACGTTGTATGGCTTTTGTTCACATCCAAAGAACTCATCCTTTGGTTTATGAGTTTGTAGAAAGGGGAAGTTTGAGAATGGTGTTAAGCAACAAGGACGAGGCAATCGAGTTGGATTGGGAGAAAAGGCTAAATGTTGTAAAAGGAGTGGCCAATGCCTTGTCTTATATGCATCATGACCATATACCACCTAAAATTCATCGAGACATTTCCAGCAACAATGTTCTTCTGGATTTGGACTATGAGGCTCATGTCTCAGATTTTGGCACAGCTAGGCTTTTAAAGCCTAACTCTTCCAATTGGACCTCACTTGCTGGCACTTTCGGGTACATAGCTCCAGGTATTTATTAATATCTCTTTTTTTAAGATGCTTTAAACATGTCATCATTCAATTAGAAGTGTTAGTTTTGTGTGCAATTGATTAGTTAAAAAAAGTTAAGTAGTATTACGATTGTAACTTTTTAAATTTAAGTATCAAAGAATTTTACTCTAATTCAAGTATAAAATGTATAATTAATCTTTAAACTTTAACACAAAATTTTTCAGTATTCAATATATTAAACTGATGAACTAAATGTAAAATCTTATTTAAAATCTGAATTTCAATTTTCATGCAATCTTATTTTATATTCTTCTCAATATTCTTACATAATAGTGTATTTGATTAGATATATTTATTGCTTAATAAAACAATTGATTAGTTATATTTTTTAAGCAGAGTTGGCTTATACAATGAAAATAGACGAGAGATGTGATGTTTACAGTTTTGGGGTGCTAACAATGAAATACTTATGGGGAGACATCCTGGTGATTTGATTTCATGTTTGTCATTGTCATCAACATTAGCATCGACATCGACATCAATATCAATACCAAATGACAATCAATTAATTTTACTTAAAGATGTGATAGACCAACGTATCTCACCACCAGTAAGGCAAGTTGCAAAGGATGTTGTCTTTACTACAAAGCTAGCATTTGCATGCTTGAATGGCAATCCCCAACTTCGACCAACCATGCGACAAATTGCTCAAGCCCTTAACTGTCAATCACTTCCATTGCCCAATCCTTTCTCAATCATAAAATTAGGAGAATTGTGGGATCATGAAGTCTACAGCGGCTAATATTAAAGTGCTCACAATTTGAATAACAATTCTAAGCACATGTATTTACTTCAATCTATTTCTTTTTCTTTTTTTGTATTGAAAATGTTTAAGTACTCTTGTAATAAAGCTTTTGTAGTGAATCGACTGTGGTATAGAATAGCTGTGTTTAAGCACTCAATTTGTATATTCAAAATTTCCTATTTCAGTATCAATTGTAATATTCAGTTGTAGTACTGATTTGCTACAGTACTTTCGCTTTGGAATGCTACAACAATTTTAGTATCACTATTTGTTTGAACAAACAAAGAATATAATTGGTGAGCACACCAAATTACAATAAACACAACCTCACACAATAACCTTTTGATTTTATTATTTACTCTCCATTTATTCTTATACACTCTCATACACATTATTTCTCATAATTTTATCTTTCTAACGTTTCTTCATTCCCTAACTTTTAAATCATTTAAAATTTAATTGTAATTGTATTGAGAATACTTAAAATGGATTTGAGTGATGATTTTAAAGTATATACCTTCAATTTGTACCTTTTTTTTTTCCCTAAAACACTAAAAAAATTGTATTTTTCTCAAATTTCTCAAATAAACTTTTATCTTTTTTTATCCAATTAAAAGCATAAAACATTATCTTTATTTAATTAAGTCTTATTTTACATGAAAACCACTAAAATTAGTTATTTTTACCATGTCAAAGGTAATAATTGTCTTTGTTTAGTCAATGTTCCCATTGTAAAACATAAAAATTTAAGTTGAGTTATCGTTTATATAATAAATAATGAATGGCTCGTATAATAGCGACATTAACATCCAAAGAGCTTTTTTATTTTCAAATATATGCTAGTAAATGTTAGCATCATAGAAAGAACTACGACATATATGTTGATTTGGCAAGAAATAATAATTTTTTTTATTTTTTATCTAAAAAAAGCTTAATGGAACAAAATTATAATTTAAAGATTTAATTAGACAAAAATAATTTTTTAAGGATTTAATTGGATATAATAGAAGGATGGAGGCTTATATGAATAATTCAAGGGCTTATCATCACAAAATATTTTTTCATTTTTAATATTTAATTAAAGGGGGTTTTATTGTAATTAAATTTAATCCAAATTTCAATAATATAATATATAGCCAATAAAATACAAAACATAATTATTAATAAAAATACAAAACGTTTTTTTCCCAAAGTAAAATTAAAGTTGAATTTGGTCCAAGGTGTTTTAAAATTAAATATCAATGAATTTTCATAACTTTTTCTCCCTTTTTTTTTATAATATGGTGAAGAGTACTTTTATTTTATTTACTTGGAGAAACGATAGGATTTGAACAAAATTAATTGTAAAAAAATTGGTTAATTTCACCTATAGTTTTTATTGCAATTTTGTAATTAACCAATTAAAAAAAATTGTGTCAGAGTCTATCACTTAAAAGTATGGGTTTTACATAAAAAATTTTTTAACTCTACACAATACAAAAAAATTATACATATTTTAGCATTACTATGGTAATTTTTAATTTTACAAATTATTTTTAAAGTTGTTATATCCATTTAATATTTGGATTATTATTTTATACAAAAACACAAGTATTGGGTTTTTTAAAAACTCATTATATCTATTTAAATAATTAATCAGTTTGTTAGATTTTTATAAATATACTCTAATGAGACAAGTGTTAATTTTTCAAAAAACTTTGTTAATCAATATAATCGCTGTCAACCTCAAAGTGATATTCTAGTTTCAAAACCAACCCTGAAATCATGACCATTAAACAGCTTACATGAATTACAAAACAAGTACCTGGGTTGATCTGAATGTGAAGAACTATTGAACATCATTCCACTCGATGAAGGTTTGTCTATATCGCAATCAGAAACAGGCTCTATTCCCCGCTTCCTTTGTGTTTTGCTAACAGAGGCAAAGTCTCCCTCTTGCTTGTTAGACATCGAGCTACTAACAACTTTTTCAAATGTTCTCGTAGTTTATTCTGCATCACTCCAAACCTATGTTCCATCTTGACATCTCTCCCCAAATTTCCTTCCCTCTTTGCATCGATCTACTGGATTTCATCTAGAGCTTAGAGATTTCCTGTTCATTTTGTCGGATTTCCTTTTGCATCCTAGTAGAGACTCCATCCGCCATGATCTCCAGGTCAATGCTTTGATATCAAAATGACGAAGCTTAAATTTTCCAAATAACGAAAACAGATAGATCGCAGAATAAAAAAAAACGGAGAAAGAGAAAAGAAGAAAGAATTCTAGAAGAGAGAATAACTGCTGATATTTCTTGACAAAACCGTATACAATGTTCCTTTCCATCATTTGTAATTCTTAGCAGAATACTTAACATAGCTGTAATTCGTGAACATCGGATACTACAGGTCATAATTCTCTCTCTCTCTTTCTCGTTTAGTATAAGGGTAATAACTTATATTTCATAAAAGAAACAAATAAAACTAAATAGGCCTGTAACACAAATTGCCTACCAACATGGCCCATATTTATTCATTTAAGCCTGCTAGTTAGTCTTCTATTCAAATTTTGAAAAAAATAATATTCGGTGATACGATAAGATAGTCTTTTACTCATGAAGAAAAGGAGAAGACTTGAGGATTTGAGTTCCAAAAAACAATATACCATTTGTTTGGAGGAGTTCTTGGTTGGAGACGAAGTTGCCTCAATGCCTTGCAGGCATGTTTTCCATAATGATTGCATTGTTAGGGGGATTTTCAGAAATTTTGCAAATTTCTTTATAGTGTTTAAAATGAGGAAATAATATAATAAACAATCTTGCTTTGATATAATTGTATAAAATCTTATGGCAATCGATGTACATTTTACTCAAATTTTTCAGAGTGTTACCAATTATCTCTACATTAATTAGTCGCAAATCAAATTGACATTTTTTGAAATATTGAATTTAGTTGTACAAATAATTTTTGGAAAATATTTATAGATATGGTGGTGGCAATTTTATGTGTCATTTTACTTCATATTGAATTATTAGAGTAAAAGAAATTTTGGATCATTGTGGGTACAAATCATTCGGATGATACTAAGATTATTTGAAATTAAGACTACTGGATTTAGATTATTTTGAGTTTAAATTATTATATTTTGAAATCAAATCAATTTATTTTAAATAATAATTTTGAATCAATTTTTCGAGTTATTTGAGTTCAAATAATTTCAAGTTCATATTAATTCAAGTTTAAGTAATTTTAAGTTTGAGTTGAGCAAATTTTGATTGTTAATTTTTTTCTAATTAAATTAGATTGGATCAAGTCCATATCTAGACAGATTTAAGGTTATATAATATTATAATTATTATTATTGTAAGATGAAAATATTAATGTTCTTTAGAAAAATTATTAAAATTTTATTTATTGATTGCTATCCAAATTGAATTAACCAAATATAGAAAGAAGTTGATTGAGAAACAAAGCATGATCTTAGAAGCAGAAATACTAAAACATGAGAAATAAAATGGATTCTATAAACAATTAACTAAAGCTTAGCAATTACTTCCATTAATTCTTCTCTATAACAAATGTAGAAAAGTGAAACCAATTTGATTTTGATTCTATATAAATAAATATATTTACCTTCACTACTTTATATTCACAGCTTACATATATAGCTGTGTGTGCAAGCCAAAGGTAATTTTGTGCAACAAAGCTTTTTCAATCAATCTAATAATGGTATCATCTTTTCTATGTCCCAACTTTTCTTCTTTCTCATCCTTGCATTGCTTCAATCTACACTAGTCATTGCCTTAGGTATCCTTTCAAACTACTTCTTTGGCTACTGCTCCATCCATTGAAACAAAAACCCTTCTGAAATGGAAAGTTAGACTTGACTAGGGGTGAGCACTTGTTCAGTTGGTTGATTCAATTCAGTTTTAAAGAACTTAAAAAATCAAAAACCTATTTAACCGAACCAAGTTACACAAAGCTAACATCATAAGTAAGCTCTAGAATTCAACATCTTTGTCCAATCGAATTTACAACAACTAGAATAGTTCACCATCCAACACTCTTACTGTCAACTACTTCCTAAGAAAGCAGTAACAAGTACATCTGAATCATACAAAGATGAAACAAAGTTATATTCAGGAAACTGGTCCTAAGTAGTCACCTTCCAAACTTACCAATGCCTGAAATTCCCTCTCCTCTTCCATCCACTTTGTTCCGATCACAATAAATCGGATGATATCATCCTTCTCAATCTTCGAGTGCTTGTCATTCATGAAGATACCGTTCTCTCAAGGCACATAATGGTAGTCGGGCATTTTTCGTGAGACAGATAGATGTTTTAGATTGGTCCACACTTCAAGAAAACTCCATGTTTTAGTACCTGGTGTACAACTCCTTCCAAAATCTCTCCTCTGAACATCTTGAAGGTGATTCCACCGAAGACAACAGGGAAAAGCACATCCCTAGTGTTCTGTCTAACTCTGCCCTCTCCAATGCTCTCCAGAGTTGTTACAGCCATAAAATATCCGAGATCCTCGGTGGCCTTCTTCCAAGCAAATTCATCCAAAAGGCAGACCACTATAGCCTTTTGGAGCATCAAGCCTTTGGCATCCAAGCTGTCAGCAGGAATTATGACATTCCATGGCAACTCCACCATGAGAAACCTTCTGCAACTGTAATCACCATGGAAATGTAAAAAAAAAAAAAAAAAAAAAACGAAAATTCGCAATGAAATGAATGTCCTTAGAGTAAAAAGAAACAGTATATTAATCTTGAAGAACTCAAAAATTGATTTAGTCCTATCCCAATATCAAGTATGTTAAAGCCAAATTTCAACAATCCAAACAGAAAAGAATGACAAAGATTAGTTTTTAACTTTTGAAAATTTACCAGATTGTAATGAAATATAACCCTACAATGCCCATTTCACATGATCAGCAATGCATAGCAGCAAATCCAGAATCAAAATAAAGCAATAATAAACAGAGAGTACCAAAGGAAAACTGTGGCATTTCCTTC